TTCACATTGTGCTTGGTTACCGTATACCATGCTTTGAATTTTCTTCAAAAAATTTAAATATGCTAACTGTTTTTACACTTATTTCCACATTCCACTTTTATATTTATTTCATAATAAATCAAATACCTCATAAATTAAATCTTGCTCGCTTTCAGACACTGGCAACTTCTTAAGTTCCAGAACAAATGCTTTCACTATATGAAAACGACAAAGAAGAATTCTGCTTTTTGGAAAAACAGTTTTTATAGCAGAGATTTCAGCATAATCTTTATCAATAACAAACGTAGAAGACTTTAGTAGATCACCTGTCCAACACCGAATATCTTCTAGGATCATCTCTAAATGAATATGATCTTCTCTATCAACAAGACTATGCATTACTGGCTGACCTATTCCATTGCAGTCCACAATTGCAAGGGTGTACAATGGCATTGCCATATTGTTGACCTAAATATGAAGGCCATGTAAGACAATATGTTATAACATAAATTTAAAAATAATGCCATTAAAGCAAAATAAAAAGAACAGAGAGAAAAGCAAAACAAAGTAATAACAGATACTTTGTATGTACCATCCATCATAACAACTTCCGGAAACTTATGCAAAATGCTCTGTTGTTCTGGAGTGGACCAAGTAATAGCTTCAATGTATCCTTCCATATTAGCATGTATGTTATGTTTCGTACCAGTCAAAACATTTCTGATTTCATCAACAGCAGAACCTATAATAACATAAAAATTATTCATTTCAATTTAGTGTTGAGTTCTTTTCAAATTAAAATTTATTTACCTCGAAACTTCATTTTCTGCTTTATATTATATATATCTTTCTGCTTTACCATTAATTTTTTATCTAACAAGTAGTTGGCAACAAGAGTTGGATTTGCGCCGTGATGAAGAAGAACCTCAGTTTCTTCAAGAATTTTCTTTGTAGGTTTTCTAGATGTTGAGTAGAGTTGAAATTCTTCAGCACCAATTATATGGTTATGTTCAAGATTGATGTTGCGCACCATATATCCAGGTAATGCAGGATTGTATGCAATATACAATGCCACCTGTATATTAAACAAATGTATATTAAAATAGGCCATTAATAATCAATAATTACTGGATAGTTAAAAATATCTTTCATTACAATTTTATTTTTTTTTATTTTGATTGAAATGTTAAGTGGAATTTGGAATTGAATTAATGGAATTAATTCAATTCCAATTATGGAATTAAATTAATTCAATTATGGAATTGAATTAATATTTATTATTATATGTAAAACCATACCTGACAGCCACAAGGAAGTACTGATTGGTGATTTCTTTTTCCAGTCACACCATCTCTTTTTCTAGGTTGACCAAAATGTTTACAAACCCACCTAAATAACAAAATCAATTTAAAAAAATTATTACAATCATGATCACCACCAACATTATCACTAACAACAGCAACAACGATAACATAATCATCAGCACTTCAAATACCTGTATTTGTCAACCATACAGGAACAACAAAAGAGATAGCAGACTTGTGCCATCACCGTCATTGTTTTATCGTCCTTGTTTCTGCCCTTGCACAGGGTGTTTTCCAGATGTCACAAAACAAAAAAGTAACAAAGTTAAAAGACAAATTTGGTTTATTTACCTGTTGACTTTTGTTAAATATAATTTACAAAAATCTTATTAATTATAGTATTCATAAAATCATAGGTAGAGAAAGCAATAATAATAATAAAAATCAACTTTAATGTTATTTTTAATAAATAATTTGGCTTTCATATATACAAAATAGGTTAACTGAATCCAAAAAGCCATCCAAATAATACGATCTAAATAGAGAACATCTTTAAATAACAGTTTGTATACACAATTAAATAATAATTGAATAATTTGTAATATAACTTTTGCTAGACCTTAAAAGCACATTAGAAACAATTTACAAAAATATTCTTATTAACAATTTATTAGCGGCAAAATTATTGAAATCACTTCATAAGTATAAAAATTTTTTTGTTGACAAAATGTCAACAATGTCAAATTCGAATTAATCAGTTAGTTAAACATTAACAAATACTACACAAACGGTTAAAAAACCAATAGTTCATTGTACTTATTGACTTATCACTTTTGTCTTTTAATTTAATATTTTTCTATACACATTTACTATTATCTGATGTATTAGTAATATTTCATAATACTTTCCACATGGTTTTACTATCACCTTTCACCACATCCACTTTATTCTTTTAAATTTAAAAGTTTTTAAGTTTCTGCATTTTTTGTAATTCCATATTGTGTTAGACACATAGTGTTACCTTCTTTCTTCATTATTAAGAATTTTCTTTATTCATAGTTAACTTGTCTTGATATGTTGATAATACTAGGATTATTTAAGCAGTTAGAGTATGGTGTTCTATTGTTTATTATCATTTTTGTTTTAATTTCAATTTTGACTTTCTTTTGAATGTTATAAATCATTATATTTGCCATTTCGTTACTATTTAGTTACTTATATCTTTATCATTTATTTTGATTTTAATTCTAATCATAATTTTCTTGTTTAGTTTATTGTAATTCATGTTTTCATACAGTTTAATAGTTTTATATTTTACTAACACATTGTCATATTTCTTAACTTTAATATCAAATTTATGTTTGACACTTACTACCTCATGATTTGACATTTTTGGCTGTACAGAATTGTCACTTTCTATATCATATTTAGTTTAAAAATAATTTGATCAACACAGGTACTTGTATGTTCAGTAATTCTTATGGGTACACAAGAGCTGGTATACTATGACTGTTTATGATTTTTAGACTAAGATTCTTGTTAACTATTTCGCATTTTTTTAAGAAGTTATTTTTTTTAGAATGTCAATGTTGAAATCTCCCATAACAATAACTTTTTTGTACTTACTGCTTACATCACTTATATATGATCCATAGAAATTAATAAATACGTTTACCAAGTTTTGATGAGGAGACCTATATACATATATCACACAAATAGACCTGTTAACATATTTCATTATTGTTTTTATTAACCACTATTCTGTGTCTTTGATATCTACTTCAGAATTCATCATTTTTATATTATCTCCAATCTTTTATATCATTTTTATACATCTACTTGTATGAACACTGGATAATAATACGCTTATTTCATTATATTCATTTATTTTAAATTCTTTATTGTAGTGATCCTTTTTTAAGTGTTAATAAATCTTTGTTTCAACTACAACAAATATTTCAGGTTTAAAATCCCTAACAAATTGTTCCACCTCTGTTATTTTGTTCACTGAACCATTTATATTTACTAAAACACATTTAAATGTTCTATTATTTTTTGGTTGCTATCTGATTCATATTTTAATCCTTGCTTTCACCACCATAAACAATGGACAGTTACGGTCATTAGCATAATCATTATATCGAAACTGAGGATCATATCAAATCTGAGGATGGTATTTTTATTTGTTGTTAATGACAAAATGTAAATTCTAATTAATCAGTTAGTTAAACATTAACAAATACTACACAAACGGTTAAAAAACCAATAATAAGTCAAGAATTATTAGAAAACAAAAAATTAAAGAGCAAGGAAATGGTTGACAGAGGACTTAAATCAAAAACTGTACGTTGTTTGAGTCAGGAAAACATAAAAATGGGAACAAATAGAGTTCCAAAGAGGAGGAAAAACCTAGATACAAATTTTTTTATAAAATGCAGAAACAAATACAGTAAAAGGATGAGACTTTAGTAAATGATGAGTCAAGCAAAGTTTTGTTTAATGAAACTAGAGATAATATCTCCTTTGGGCAACGACTATGGACTTTAATGTTTTAGAAATGTCGTAAAAAAATACACAAGAATTATAATAAATGCAATTTGTTATTTCATTAAGTAAACTTTTCAATTTTTTTAAATTACATTACTGTGAAAAACTATAATAATTTTTAGATGTTTATTCTTTACTCACAATGTAATACCATTCAAAATGTAACTTTACTAAAGATGAATTATTAAAATTTAAAAAAATGCCCTGCCAATTTAAATAAATATAAAGTACAGTCCTTCTAGAAAAATTTAATAAATAGAGTAGGCAAATGTTGTAACTTATTCTTTTATTCAGTACTATTGTTAATAAATTAGTTCAGAGATTTTTGCTGCGAATCAATAAATTTAAGGCAATAGACAAAAATTTATATTTCGTAAACATTAAAAAACTGTATTAAATAATAAAATCTATTCATATTTAACTTAATGGTTTTCTTGACTGGCATTATATCGTTAAAATCAATCTAAAAAAAAAACAAGAGAAAAAAAGAAAACCTGCATGCGAATATCTCTTCTGTTGTGACAATAGCTTTATCAGCAATTAACTTTTTATTGTGACTAGCAACAGTTTCTTTACTATCTATCCTTAATGGATGATAATTTGTTAAAGCGAACTTATTGACTGCATTTATACAACTTTGAAAATCAGGGAAAGTATCTCCTAATTTTAGGCTTGCGGCCATTTTTAAAATACAAGTATTAACAAATAATTTTGCCATGGAAATTTCTTTATTTTCAGTTAAAATACGCGCGTGTCACATGTCTAAAATAAGGTAATATGATTGGTTCACTGGTTTTAGCAATTTTCACCGGTTTATTACCAGTGTATATGCACTGGTAATAGCACTTTGCGAATTTTTCAGTTTATCAAAACTTTTGTCATTTTGTAAAACTCTTTGCTCATCTCTAATCCATTCTTTGAGTGCAAATTTGTACTCATCTGTCGTCAAAGTAATTTGTTTGTTTAACGGTAGCTTTTTAAATGTTTTTAACAAATTGTTGATAAATCAAAATACATATCCAGTACTAATAATTAACTTTTTAAATGAACTAAATCTACATGCATCAACGATACTACTCAAACTTGGTGATGAGTCCAAAACAACATTACAAATAACTACATTTTCTCCTCTCATACACTCAGACATAATATCAACCTGAAACTTTTTATCTACTTAAATTCATTTTTCTCTTTATTTATATTTAACAAAACTTCTGGTCTTTTTAACCAATGTCCAAAATCAATAAAATTACTTATTCGAGAAGGAAAATCAGCTGGGTTCAACTCCCCACTAATATGATTCCAGTTTTCTCTATCAACCACTTTTCTAATGGCATTCACTCTATTCTCCACCCATGGTTTCCACGTTCTTTCCTTACCCTTAATCCAATACAATGCCACTTCTGAATCACACCAGCAACTTACATCCTCAAAGTGCACTCTTCACTTCAAAACTCTTAACACTTCCTTTAAAAGTTGGCTCAGTAACACACAACCTAATAACTCTAATCTAGGTATACTTAATTCTTTTAAGGGTGAAACACGTGACTTTGAAACTAAAAACTCCCTATTCAATCCTAAACTAGTTTCTACAACTAAATATATAACAGCACAATAAATTAATTTAGAACTGTCACAAAATCCATGCAATTGAACACGCTTACTACTCTCATTAACTCTCTTAAACACAAATCTTGGAATTTTAACAAAACTTAATAATTCAAGATCCTTTAAAAAATCTGTCAAAGCTAATTCTATTGCTTCTGTTACTATTTCATCCCATCCACTTTTATTTCTACAAATTAATTGAAAAATTGTTTTTACTCTTGAAGTTATTGGTGTTAAAATATTTAGAGGATCAAAGAAAGATGCTGCCATCTTAAGAATATTTCTTTTAGTAAATTTTAGCATTCTTGCATTTTTAACAAGTTCTTCAAACTCAAAAACAAATTCATCTTTTAATATATCCCACTCAATTCCTAAAATTTTATAAAATTATTATTAATTTAATTTTTAATAATTTCACTTTCAAAAAATTTTAATTCATCAATTTTTAGAATACATTTTGAGTTTTCACTTTGATTTGTTTCCTTTTTATTAAAATAATTATGTAATTCGTGATCATTTCTAATCCATTTTTTTAATTCAAATTCTGCATCTAAAAATATACATTTAGATTTTTTATAAAGCATTTTCCCTTCTAAAATTGTTTTCACATGTCGTCAACATAAAGATCATCTATAAATTTTTCAATAAATTTTTCACCGTGTTTAATGCATTTATTAAGATGGTGTTTTAAAGTGGCATTTAAAAGAAAAGGACTGCTAGTTAAACCAAAAACAACTCTAAGAAATCTATATACAATTATTTAGCCTCCTTATCAGATATTCTCTCGTACCACAAGAACCTTAAGTAATCTCTGTGTTCAGGAGAGATTTCAATGTTTAAGAATGCTTGTTTTATATCAGCAATTATCCCTATAGCATTAAACCTAAATTTTAGTAAAATATCAAATATTTTTGGTAATAAATTCGGACCTGAATTCAAGCAATCGTTTAAAGACGGTCCTGTTGTCGAATAGGACGCATAAAAAACAGCTCTAATTTTTGTAGTATCCTTATCTCTTCGAATAACAGGCTTATGAGGCAAATAATGCACACACCCTGGTTCTTTAAATATATCAGACTCACTAACTTTTTCTATTATATTATTCTTTTCATAGTCTATATAAATTTGATTATATTCTGTAACCAGTTGTTTATCATTTAATCTTACCTTTAAATTAGCCAGACGTTTTTTACAAATATTATAGTTACCAGGTAAAAAATCATGATCAGTTTTGAATGATAACTTTGTTATATATCGTTCCCCGTTATGTATGAGATCTCTTTCAAACTGATACATCACACAACTTTCAGGAGATTCTATGGTTTCAACAGACCAAAATTTATTTAGATCTTTCTTAAGCTCATCTATTTCACTCTCAATCTTACAGTGCATAGATTGACTAGTAAAAACTGTTTTTGTGGTATTTTTTGTACTTTTTTCCAGAGAAATAGGACTACTTAATACCCACCCAAAGATTGATTTACTAGCTACTAGACCACCTATTGACTTCTTACGATTCTTCCAGTAATAAAACTGTGATAAAAGTCTATACCTACTAAAATATCAACATGAAAATCATCATTATCAGCTAATGAATATTTGGATAATTGTTTAAATTGATTACAAGCTTATGACACGTTTCGCCCTTGCAGAGGGCTACAAATAACAGGTAAACATAAAGCTTCCATATAAACACTGTGATCAGTATATTTATGTTTGACCTTAAATTGAACAATATTTAATAATTGCAATGTTTGTTCATTATCTTTCCGAAATGTTTTTATTTTAACTTTCTCTTTCCTAATAGTTTTTAAATTTAATCGTTTTTGAATATTTTCACTTATATATGATCGTTGGCTTCCACTATCAAGAATCTTATTCTTGCCTTTAAAGACTTATTTACTGAAACTGCACTTATGTCTGCCCTAGCTGTTTCCAACAAGATAGTTTGTTGGGAAATGTTATGTGTTGCGTGCCCAACAAAAGTGTTTTCTTTTTCACACAAGGATATATGGTGCTTTTTTTTGCATTTACTACAAATATAATTTGCTTGACAATTCTTTAATATGTGATTCGTTCTAAGACAATTAAAACATCTGCCTTTTTAAAATTTCTTTTCTGGTTGAAAAATTTGTCGCGTTTTTACATTCCCAGGGGTTGTGATTTTCTGAACAGTATATGCAAGGATAATTATAATTTCTTTTGTTTTGGTAATCACTATCAAATGATTTTGGAAAAACTTTTTTGTAATTATTCTTAGAGTTCTGGTTAATATTCTGTGAATATAATCCTGCAAATGTGAATAACTAACTATTATTTTTTCTGTTTTCAACATTTCGACTATTACTTGAACAACACTCTATTGTATTTAATTCTTCTCGAAAATATTTTAATAATAAATCTATAGTCCAAACCACCCCATCAAATTTCCTCGTAATTAACAGAACTAAATCATCTGGTATTTTTTTCTTTTAAAATAGGAATCAGAAGACTTCCATATGTGTTGGTTTCAACTTTTAATGATTTCAAATTTCGAACACTTGCTTCTATATCATTATAAAGTTTTCTTAAGCCATCAACATTAACACTATTTTTTACTTTCACAAGTTTTAATAATAAATCCATGTGTGCAGAGATATTTAATATTTGTGGGTTACCATACCGTTCAGTCAATAAAGAAACTGCTTCTCTACAATTTTCTGACGATAAGGTTAAACCACAAATGGTAGTCAATGCTTGGCCTCCTAAATATTTTTTTAAATAATTAAAACAATCAATATCATTTATGTCATCATTGTTGTGTATGGCAACATTAAAATGATCCCAGAATGTTTGCCATTCTAAAAAATTACCCTTAAAAATTGGAAGTTGAATTTTTGGCAATCTACAATTAATTTTATTTTAGAACTCTTTTCAGAATGATTATCAAATCCTAATTTTAATGATTCTAACCTTAGATTTATTTTAAAAAGTTTATTGTGAAATAGATCAGTTATTTATGAAAGTTTATTATGAAATGGATCATGTTATTTTTTACCAACACGTTTACACAATTCAAATCTTTCACCGAATCAAATGTACATGACTTTTGTAAGTCAAATCGATTCTTTTTTTTTTTTTTTTTTGTCCAATTGGATAAATATTTTTCTTCTGGCAAAATTCTTCGTTCAGATTTCGTATTTTGCATCGGGCGCCATATAAAAAACTTTATTATTTTAGACATTAATTGAGAAGGGTTATAGCTAAGTTATTCTCTTTCTTGTAACCTCGTGTTAACTAACTAATATCCGTAACAAAAACTTTTACAATCCAAAATTGTATAGTCAAGAAAAACCAGATAAAACCGGTAATAAATAACAAAAGCCGTATATAACAAAACACTTTTAACAGTCTTCACGTAAGCAGTAATTTTGTGCATTTATGCCAAATTCCATTCCAAGCTCATTAAACAACTTATTTAAAACTGCTACCCTTCATTAAACTTTAGCACAGCTGAGGCTACTCCTATACTAAGAGCAGTTCTTTCAATAAATACATCTTTTGGGCATCGCTTCCATATGAACTGGTTTAAAGACTCATTGGGATTCTGCGTTTTTTCATGTAAATATTTTTCAAGAAGTTTATTGGGACCAAGGTCTATAAGTATTGATTTTTTGGCGTTGCAGACAGCAGCAGGAACCTGAAATAAACAAGGGGTCTATAAAAGTAGTTGATGTAAAAAAAAGTTGTCAAGTTATTCAGAAGTTGTATGTGATGAAAAGGTTAAAAAAGTAGTTGATAAAGTTTGATATGCAATCTAAGCAGTTGTCAGGAACAGAACCTAATATTGACTATATTGATTTTGTAAATGAAGTTTCTTGTACATTAAGCTCCCCTATTTCACAAGAAATTCGAAAAAAAGAAGAAGGTTACATTACTAAAAGAAGTGACAATATTGAAAGTTTGATTGACGCTGCTAAGGAAGTTGATCTATTTAAATCTGAAGATTTTAACCTAGATGACTATATTCCGTCATCTCCAGATAATGCATGATAACAGATCTTTCAAAAGAAGCCGAAAACAATTTATTGAAGAAGATAGAAAGCCTATTTATTTGCATTTATCTAACGTAATACATTCAAATGAACCAATAAAACAAATTTGTATTATCGTTAAAGAAACCAGAATTAGCGGGTCTTGTAAAAAAGTTTGATTTGATATCAATAAAAATGAGAAGAAACAATATAAACATTTTGTAAATAGTCTTTTTACTATTAAGGTGTCTTCAAATAAAAATGTTTTTACTGGATTTTTTTTAAGTATGAAAAATTTAATAGTTTTGATTTGTGGGGCAGAAGATGAAAGTAGTTTGTTCATTTCTGCATTTATAATGTTTGCAAATAACACGATGTGTTATTTGCAAACATAATAAATGTTTTTTTGTACAAAAATGTTTTTTTGTACAAAAATGAATAGTTATATACAAAAAACTTTTTTAAATTTAGGCAATTACTTGACATAAGCCTCTTTTATCATTAAGGGACTATTATACTACACAGAAGAAAGCAGTATTTTTTTTTTTTTTAATTTTTATTCACCTCCTCAAGGCCGAGAAGGCCACTACAGATGAGGAGGCTACTTATTTGTGGTTATAACCCTCTCTCAACTCTATAACTCGGAAACACGAACCTTGACGAACAAGGCCGCTGCGCGGAGAAACGAGTTGAGCGCGGTACTACCAGGGACGTGGTGGGGATCGAACTCGGAACCACTCGTTTATGAAGCGAGCGCTCTACCACTACACCACTACCGCATTTATTTATATTTATTATAGTATTTGTGAATCAGGTACTATATATGTGACTTTTTTAATTCAGGTACTATGCAATGCATATCAAAAATATCAAAACAGAATTTTAAAAGAAAAATCTTACATGCATAGTATGCATGTAAGATTTTTCTTTTAAAATTCTGTTTTGATATTTTTTATAAACTTTTTAATTAGATAACATTTAATACAAAAGCCGCATTCATATCTAAAAACAGGTAACGTGACACCAGGTTTTTAAACAGGTGAGTTTTATCGCATTTATTTCAATTTTATTTTATTAATGATTGTTTTATTTAACTAATTTTTGTTTCGTAAATACCTAATATTTACCATTCAAATTTAAATATTTTTTGTAAATAAAACATTAAATCATCGGATTTAGTTGATGAACCTATTGAACCTCGGATTTAGTTGATGAACCTATTGTCTACTGTTGAAACATGATTTGATTCAGTAAATTTTTATTATTTGAATTTTACTGTATTAATCATTAGTCAACAGTTAGTGAGAAACTGGTGTTCTACGTAATTGAGGTAAAATTAATTTTGTTCACTGGTAACATTCCAAAACAGTTTTTGTGGTTTATTGTTTTATATCTATATTGTGCTACTATATTGTTTTAATGATAGATTAATTGATGAACATTTCAATCGTCACCGAAAATTGAATTTTCCTGTTTGTTGCAGGTAGGTTTATAAAATTTATGTTTATAAAATTTTAGATAAGTAAAATTTAATTTTCTTATCTTGGTATTGCGATAATACTTTTTTTGCTTTTCATTGAAATTAACTGTTTATAAATTATTCCTAGGCTTGTTTTCCTTTAATTAGGAGTATGGTAGACTTAAAGAAGCAGTTCATATCTAAACGGCACAAACTGTCAAAAGCAAGAGAAATAAAGAAAAAAAAAGTTTTATAGCGACAGAACTTATTTTAATTGAATAAATGTTCAAAACTTTAGTTTAGAAAATATATTTTTTATGCATAATGTTGTACAAAGTTGTTTTGAGTCAAAGTTGTTTTGAGACCTTTATCGGTATTGAAGCAAATAACAATTTAAAAATGCCCTAAATCTGAAAGATCTGAAACAGAATAAATCGTACACAGTACGTCACAATAAATTACAAAATTAAGATAATTCATCTGTACTATATTGTATATACTGTTATAGTATTATAATAATCTGTACTATATTGTATATACTGTTATAGTATTATAATAATAGCTATATTTACCTTTCCTACGTTTAGCTGCATTAAGCAAAATAAATTACAAAGAAAAATCATATTTTTTTAAATTTGTCTTTCATACATATTTATCTGCATTAAAAATTAACCGAGTCGCTTGTTTCTAAATTTTTTTTTAATGAGGACGAGTGACTACTTGCCCAAGCTATAGCACACTTCATGAATAACGCAGTTACAAGTTGTTAATGCTTTTATATTTTATAAGGAACTAAAATAAATGTTTTGAGACAACCGGAAACTAAAAGAAAAAACTTGAACAAAATGGAGATTGAATTAACTACGAGGTAACTGACTCATTTGCGCTTGCTTTAAGCAAACATCTTAGTAAAACAACGTAGTAGGGCACTTTTTAAGGCGGTTAATAATAAATAGGTACTTAAATTTACATATCTGTGCACTTATGGGGCTTTACTGGCCAAAGAGACAGTTGTGATTAATCTCAACTTAAAAGTTATTCCTATCAGAACTGAATAAGTCAAACATGCAGTTGAAAATGTAATGTAGTTATCACTGATAACTATATAATTAAAAAGCTATAAATCGAGATTGATATATTGTGATAAAAAAAGAAAAAAGCACCTTTACAACTCAAAACTAATCTCAGAGTTCTACTGCTTAAGAAAGGTAATGAATTACTTAAATAAAAAATTTTCGGAGAAAACTCAAACAAACAAAAAAACGGTCAATCATGTTCAACATACAGAATTGTCCTCATCCTACTCAATATCTAATTTTTTGAAGCAATATGCAAATCAATTTTGCTCTACGGCTGTAAAAGTTATATTCTCATGTAAATACTTTTAAACTTAAGCACTTAGTAGCATTTTAAGGCACAGCTACAGTTAATCCTAATCTAATCCTAAGAATTAAATTGACCTGGTCAGCATTCAGTTAATATTTTATATAGTAAAATACAATCGGTTTAAACTTCATATTCAGCAACTGTGTTTTGTAAGATATTGCATTATAAGAGACTCAAACAATTTTATTACCCAATACATACTGATGGACTGTGGAGAAAAACAAGTTGGAGCAAAGTTGTAAAGTAAACTGAAAACAATATATCTCTAATAAAATTTGCAAACTTATCAATAGTTAAGCGCCAAAAAGAACAAACAAGATCCGAAATGTCGCAAAGCTCAGACATGCTTGATCTAGCACGGAAAAAATTTAAAAAATTTGCTTACTGCAAACCCACCCTGTTTGCAGCCGTTGATAAGGGTAATGATGATTGGCCATAGAGCATCAGCAACTTTAAATCATTTCGTTTATTGACTTATTTTGAAAAAACTAAATAGGGTCGAATAACTTAAAAGACACTTTTTAGTTAAAATGATATTATTTTTAACTATATATAATTGTTTGATGTTCACAAAACAGTCACTTTACACTTAAAAATAAAAAAATTTTAAGTTTTTTCATTTATAAGCTACACAAAAAATGTGCGCCCCCATGCTACTTAAACTCAGAAATTTAGGTAAATAGTTATGTTATGTATAATTCAATAATAAAAAAAAAGGTTTTCTAATTTATTTAGTAAAATAGTAGAACTGAAAAACTTTATTAGAA